TCAGAGCCCGACGCGGGGCTCGAACTCACGGACCGCGAGATCGTGACCTGGCTGAAGTCGGACGCTCAACCGACTGCGCCACCCAGGCGCCCCAAGAAATATGTTTTTATCTCAAGGCCACAGAATATTCTCTTCTTGTTTTTCTATAAATGTCATTATCTCTAAAATTTAGATGAGCAATCCATTCAGAATTGATTTGTTGTATGATATGGGTAGTTACTGCGGTTTTCTTTTACCTAATATGGCTAGCAAATTTCAGTTTATTATGAAAATGTTGTATTACACTCTCTCTATATGCTTTTGCTTATCGTAGCTTCACCCAGTTATCACCTCGTTCTTAGTGCTGACTTTTCCATGGAGTATACTGGAAAGTTTCTCCATTTACTCCTGTCTCTTGGAGTCTTTGGCAATCTCACAGGACCACAGAAGTTACTCTTGGTGTCAGATTCTTCAATGAGTCTCTTTGCTCAGAAGAATGATTGTTACTACTATTTAGAGGAAAATGTGCTAAATGACAAAATGGCCCCCAGGGATTTGGCAATAGCAGTCATCTTCTTATCACAGACGATAGTTGGAATCCTGGGCAATTTCTCTATTCTTCACCATTATGTCTTCCATTACCACACCGAAGGGAGTTTGAGACCCACAGAGTTGATCATCAGGCACCTGATTATAGCCAACTCCTTGACGATGCTCTCAAAAGGTGTCCCCCAGACATTGGCAGCTTTTGGGCTGCAATATTTCCTCAATGAGTTTGGATGCAAACTTCTTTTGTATGTTCAGAGGGTGGGCAGGGGTATGTCCATTGGCAGCACCTGCCTCTTGAGTGTCTTCCAGACCATCATGATCAGCCCCATGAACTCCTATTGGAAGGATCTTAAAACCAAAGCCCCAAAGTACATTGGCTTCTCCATTTCCCTCTGTTGGATCCAGTTCATGTTTGTAAATTTAATTTTTCCTATGTATGTGTTATATGCATCTAACAACTGGCACATGAAAAACATCACAAAGAAACGAGATTTGGGGTATTGTCTTTCTGTAGATACTGAGACAATCACAGTTTCTGTATATGCAGCATTGATAGTATTTCCTGAAGTTTCACTTTCTGGGCTCATGATCTGGACCAGCGGCTCCATGGTCTTCCTCCTGCACAGACACAAGCAGCGGGTCCAGCACATTCACAGCACTAATGTCTCCCCCAGATCCTCTGCCGAGTCTAGAGCCACCCAGAGCATCCTCGTCCTCGTGAGCACCTTTGTGTCTTTCCACTTCCTCTCCTCCGTCTTTCATGCTTGTATTGCTCTTATTTATAATCCCAGCTGGTGGCTGGTGAACACCGCTGCAGTAATTTCCGTGTGCTTTCCAGCCATCAGCCCATTTCTGCTCATGAGACAAGACTCCACAGTATGTAGGCTCTGCTTTTCCTGGATAAGGAACACAAAATCCCCTAATCTTACCAGAAAAAATGTGAATTGTATGTGTCTGAGCAATGCCCAGTTGTTTATTTACTCCTCCTGCTGGAAAAGTCAATACAGAACCTAGGAAGTAACCACATGACTCTCCAGCGTGGACACTAATGGGCATTGGTGGTTGCATCACCTGGTTGAAATGGGCCATATACTGGCAGACTGGAAGTGGACAAAGTTGTTTGGCCTCATTCTGATGCCTAGTATTCTGAATATAGCTGTCTTAATGAAATGCTATTGAGGGAAATTGAGTGGATTTGATTCTAGCTTCTTATCTGTTGATTGGAGTGCTTCACTCAGGGATGTACTCATAGAAAAATCTGCCAGAGTTTAAACTGTGAAAAAATGGGTTATCAATATTGTTGGAAGGCAATTCTCCATGGGTTTCTCATGTATGTGCATGTCTTGTGGGCAGAGGCATGGGGAACTTTTGTTCTGGACTGTTTTTCATAGATGTTTGTATAAAGAAGTACCTTTGAAGATAATAGATTAGTGTCATCCTTTGGAGCAGTGGACAGATTAATTTGTTGTACAGGAAAATAAGAAACTTTAGCCGAGAAATGGCAATGACAAAGGTGACAAGAATTTTGGAGATCTGAGGAGAAAGTTAAGCCTGAGAAGTCTGTTTGAACATCCAGTGGAGTCCTGAGACATAGTGAGTTAGAAAATCCTCAGAAGTTGAAAGGATATCTGAGTCCTCATTTAAGAGCTTCAGGAACCACACCATCTCCCCTCCACAATAAGTGCTGGTTGCCACCATTCTAGGAAAGTCATTCCTTGAAAACATCTTACTGGTGAGTTTAAGCTAAAACTGGAAGTAGATGCCCAGAGCCAGCTTCAAATATGTCCCACTATAATAACCTTGCCTGAGATACGTATCAGCTTTTAATGTCGCATGGCTTCATTCTCAGACTGTGCTCAGAAAAAAGGTGATAGCCTGTCAGGTGCTATATGTCTGTGTGGAGGACAGAGGATGCAGGTTTATTTGGAATCCTGTGCCCCAAAGCTGCAGGTTCCCAAGGATGAGAATTTAGCCCCAATTGAATGATGATGATCCTAGAAGAATCCTAGGATGAATGGTGATTCTAGGAGACTGAAATCAGTGGGGCATTAAGGAGAGAATGTGAAATGATATGTCCCATTCAAGAGGGAAATCCTCCTGCCCCAGACAAAAGTGTGGTTCAAAACCTTGTGGGCGAGACAATCCATTCCTGCCACAGAAAGGGCACACTCTCCCAGAACTTGAAGTCAAAAAGAAGATGAAACATATGTATCAGTTACTGCACCCCAGAAAACAAATAATTTGACTTTTTTTTTTTTTTTTTTTTTTTTTTTTTTGGCATAAAGCCAAGTCAAAGTCAGCTTCTGACAAAGGTGAAATCCACTTGAAATCAGATCTTCTTTGTGAACAGTAGAGACTCTGAAATTCGGGAAAGTGAGACAGTCATTGGCCCAATCCCAGGGGAGAAGCTGTGCTTTTCATATGGACCGCAAATCTGGGAGGAGAGTCAGTTCAAGGAGTGATTCCTGTCCAGACAGTGCCCATGGATGGACACATGAGTGACTGCAGGGATTCTTCCTAACTTGAACATAGGACAGTGATGAGTGTTACATTCAACGTCCAAAAACCCACCTCTGGGAGCCGGAGATCTCTCCTCTTTACAGGTTCGTTCTCCCTCTCTCTCTCTCTCTCTCTCTCTCTCTGTCTCTCATATCAGCCCAGAACTTCACTGGGGATGTGTGATTGCACAAGCCTGGAATTGCAGTACAGATGCAGGAAAGAAAGAAGGGTGAACTACTTTTCAAAAAAAAATAGGAAGCTCCAGTGGTACCTTCATCTAATTCTCCAAGCTGGAAACTAGGAGCCTTGTCTAGAGGTGGTAAAATAAAGGGTAAAGAGATTTTTTGTTAACGTCTATTATTGAGAGACAGAGAGACACAGAGCGTGAGCAGGGGAGGGGTAGAGAGAGAGGGAGACACAGAATCTGAAGCAGGCTACAGGCTCTGAGCTGTCAGCACAGAGCCCGACACGGGGCTCCAACTCACGAACTGTGAGATCATGACCTGAGCCAAAGTCGGTCATCTAACCAACTGAGCCACCCAGGTGCCCCAAGGGTAAAGAGATTTTATACGAAGGTGAAAAGAATGCCCTTTTGGGTGGAGTCCAGTACCTTTAGGATCTGACAGCATCAGGAACTGGGGTGCAAGGACAGAAGTTCTATGAGCATAACATGAAGGCTCACACAGGTGCTTTCACAGGGAGAATCCCCTGTGGGACTCACAGGATCCCTGTGAAGAATGCAGGCAACATGCCATCTCCCAGGAGGAATCTGACAAGCAGGGAAGTTAACATTTGTCCAAAGTCGGGACTGAAAGCTCCGCTTCCAAACCCAACCAGCAGTCCCCCCACCCTCCACTGAACCTCATCCTCCCCCAGTGGAAAATAGCCTGTGCTGACTCCCTTCTCCTGATTCCCGTGGATGGGCAGGCATAGTACGGGAGACATGTCCCAGGCTCTGTTTCCCTGCTGTGGCCTCCCTGTAAGGGCTCTGCTCCCGGAAAGAGTCAGGCCACAGCAGCTGACATCTCAGAGACTGGGGACCTGGGATCCCATTGAAAGAGATTAGGGGTGCTCCTTGGAGGTCCCAGGATGGATCAGGCAGACCCTTAACTTTGTGTCAGTTTTCCTGGGCTGCCATAACAAAATGCAATGTTCAGCGTGGCTTAAAAAAAAAAAAAGCCAGGTATTTTCTTCCACAGTTCAGGAAGCTGGAGGTCCAAGATACATCAGAAGGTGTATTTTCTTGTGACATCTCCTTGGCTTACAAATGGCCACCCTTTCATTGTGTCCTCCCTTAGTGTGTCTTCTGTGCATGCAGAGGTCTGGAGCCTCTCTGTGTCCCAGATTGCCTCTTATAATGACACCACTGAGAGTGGATCAGGGCTCACCCTAATGTACTCATTGTAACTCCGAGAGCCTTCAAGGTTCTAACTCCATAGAGTCACCTTCTGATACTGGGATTTAGGACTTCAGCCTATCAATTTGAAAAGATCCAGTTTGGTCATTAGCACTCAGCCTGCTGGACCCTTCAAACTCATGTCCTCCAGGAAAATCCACTTCCCTCCCCATACCAACAGCCTCAAGGTCTAAACCACTGTATAATCCACTCCAAGTCCCAAACTCACCTACTATCATCTAAGTCAAGAGTAATTGAGATTTGAGACATGATTCATCTTGAGGAAAACCTGTTTTCTTCCAGCTATAAACCTGTGAATGCAGACACATTGCCTGCTTCCAGAATACAATGGCATGGGGAGAGTTTAGATATTCCCATTCCAAAAGAAGGAATTGAAAAAAGGAAATGGGTCACCTGTCCCCAAGAAGTAAAAAATCTAGGAGGGAAAATTCCCTCAGATTTCAAAGGCTTGAGGGTTATGCTCTTTGACCGGATGTATTGTCTTCTGGGCCTAGCGGGGTGGTGTCCCTGCCATGCAGCTTCCCCTGGAATGCCATTGTCAGGTGGGAATCCTGTAGTACAGATAATCCTTAATATCCTTAATAGTATGCCCCTCCCTCCCCTCCTCCCCCCCCCCTCAGTATCTCCTGCTGTGTAAGGTGTTCCCTTCCCAGGCATCCAGGTGTCCCTCCTCCTCTACCTCGGAATGTTCCATGTCATTACCTGTACTTCCGCTTTCTTGCGGCCATCCCCATAG